CAAGAGATAGAAATTCAAATTTGATGGGTTGATATAATGGATAACGGTCATATTTTTTATTTTAATGAGAAAAGAATGGAAAACAAACAGGGCTATTTATGTTATTTGATTCGGTGCAGACGATGGAGGAATGTATTTAAACTTTGGTCAGAGATAGTTCCTTAGACGCACGGTTGGAAGTTGCCATCTTTTAATAAAAACTAAGGACCATTGTGTCTATTTATATATGATTAATCACACTTAAATAGGAATTGTTTGTCTTGAAATTCTGTTTTGACCAAAAATTTATAAGTGAGTGAGAGAGAGAGAGAGAGAGAGCCGTGCATTTCTTTTTGAAGTAGATTGATGATGAAACCTAAAACCACTATCACCACTTAAAAATTTTATAAATAAATAAAAGAAGTTATTGGAGAATATTAATTTATTCAATTTATATTTCATTTTTAGGGTGCTTTCCTGACTTTTTTCAATAGATGAATTGAATTTTGGTTCGTTCATTTCGCCATCTCGACAAATTTGCTACAATATTAATTTCATTTTAACGTGCTATAATTTTATTTATTTATTTATTTTGAATTTCACCTTTACATTTTTAAATGGAGCTCGAATCCAAATTAATGATTTTGATCATATTTTGCGCTTATCACTTTAATTAGACCTTGGTGTCGAATATGCTCTAACTTAATTACTTTCGTTAAGGATATTTTGACCTTTAGCGATTAATTAAAGTGCTTGATAGGGTCACTTTATAGGAGGTACATCCAATCATTATTAATTTGAACTCCATTTTTGTGATTGAATAATTAAAGTAAGATGAAAATTTTGAAACATATTTATTAGGTCCATTGGAAAATTAAATGTGAAGTCTTTTATAATTATGCCTCTTTTAAAGTAAGTGGACTATGCCAATAACCTCCAAATCTTATCAAACGTATATTATGTATAGAGGATGGAAATATTCTATCACAAATAGACAAATAGCCTTGATAATGGAGAATATAAGTGGAAAAATTAATGTAATATTTGGTATATTGATTGGATATGAGGTATTATGATTTGACAAAATTAAAGAAAAAGAGAAATATGTTCTAATGACATATTTAGTAGAGTAATGATATTAACGACTACATTAGTCATCCTATGTAGAAGATTGTTATTTGAGAAGCTAATGTCTCAAATAATAAGTTGTTATAGGATGACTACTGCAATTACTGACTATGAATAACATTATTCAATTTAGTAATATAAATTAAATATTGATGCGTATCGAGTCGTTTATATAAAGTAAAGTTGGTTAGCATTAAACTCTTTTGGTGCGCTTAGCAGTCCAATAATTTATGTTGGATATTGAAAGAGGAGATGTAGCCATTGCTAATAATATTCAGTCTGTTCCACCACCACCTTTGTCCATTCAGACAGCAATTTAAGCAAATGAGATATGAAAAGAAATATTTAGCATGCCAAAAATTGATTGGACAACACTACAAAAAAGGGCACTTGAGAAATAATAATAGTAACAATAATAATTATCTGTTTTAAGTTTAGAAATAATAATAATAAATAAAAAAGAGGGTGGTCCTAAATCAATTTTCCTTCACCAACGCCAGCTGCTTCAATTCATGGCTTTTTACATCAGTGGAGGAAGAGAAAAAGGAAAGGAAAACTTTACAAAGGAAAAGGAGAAAAATCATCAATCATCACAAGACATAGAGGAAGGTGCTTTTCCATTTTCATGTAAGAGCTTACATCAAAGTAAATTGGTGGTTGTCTAATGAAAAGTCGAAAAAGAAATGATATGTTTGTAGATTTATTGTCAATGATGCGGAGTACATCTATTTTGACATGAGGTAAAACTTCAATATTGCATCGCCTTATTACACTCCAATCATCGTGTCAATTTTTTATTCGAGTATGAAAGTTTACAAAGTAATGACCATTTTTTACCATTTCGAAAAGCTTAAAACAAAAAAAGGTGATACCAACACATCTCGTACATTTATTGTCGGTAACATGGATTGCCTATTCTTGGAGATTTGTTGGATCATGATGTGATCTTTCTCTTATCGCTCTGACGATCAAATCAATTACGTGTTTATGAAAATTTAGCAAAGTGGCTGGATAATTCTACACACATGCCCACAAGTTTCTAACTAAGGTCAACCTCGAACAGTTAATTCTCATTTTTAAACCATTGGAGAGAATTAATTATTAATATTCCTACTATTCAAATGTTTAATAAAAAATCAAGGCACAACAAATTCCTCTTCCTTGCAATTGAATCTCTTATATCCCTTTATATAGTTTAGTAATTCTCCTGAATGAAGATGCTTAACAAAAGCTATTACCGTCGCAAGAAAGTCTAATGGAAGACATCCTCTTCTTTCTTAAGAGGGAGAATAGATTTTAGGATAAGCGCCCAATAACAATCTAACAAATAATCGTCTATAACCAATCAGAAGACTTCACACAAAATCAAAAGAACCCAGAAAGAAAGTGACTATTCATATACAATTAACTTTTCCATGATAAATCAACGTCCCATGTAGGACCAAATGGTCCTTAAAGACAGCAAAAACCTTGCCCCTGCCATGTGCTTCATGTCTAACTCCTATGAATGTATTGATTGCCCATTCAGAATCCTCAGGCACCATTGTAAGGCCATAAAAATGTTAAAGGAAGTTTTCTTGTTTTAGTCAAGGGGCCCCAGTTATAGGCATGAAATGGAGTGACATGCCCTTATGAGAAGGGCAGAGGAGCCTGTGTCCTCTTATTTGTTGGCAACACCCACATGCCTCTTCAGTCTTAATCGATTGTACGCAGTAGGCCCTGAACTTTTTTTTTCAAGCAAAAGTGATTTGAATCCAAGAAATTTATCAGATGCATGACCATCATATTAAGTTTCAACCAAATAGTGCTACATTATGATTTCTAATATAAAGAAGTGAAAATAATCAAGGGGAGAGCCAAATGTGTAAAATATCTTGATGTTCGTACGTAAGTTATATAACTAAGGACTGTGACACAAAAACTGATGAAAAAGCACACGCAGCACCTGGCTCGCCTAGCAGAAGCTCTTCAACATTCAACTCAGTCGAATATTTTGAAATATACCTCCACAACGTCGTTAAGACTTTGTATAGAGGCAAACACCTGCCAAGTGCTGAAAGATCAAGAAAGTTGGCGACCTAATGATGTGAAGGCAGGTGATCAAAGCCCATGAACAAAGACCCTAATTATAACAGTCCTGAGGTAGTGCATTTCTTGTCATGTAAATTTCGACCACGAAACAATTACTTGGACGTAATATAGCCACATCAGTTACCATGTTTCGCTTCTTAATTGGTGCAGAATGTTATGCCCAATTGGACGAAATTTCACTGGGAAATTCATCCTCAACAAAAATGATAATGTTTTACTTCTTGCCAGTTAAAACTGTTCCTCAAGAGGGTTCAAACACAGTTAGGAAATTTCAATCACAAGAATCATATTATTCATAACTTATCCACTGAAGTGTACTACAGCATTGTCTTATCTGATCAACTTCTAGTATTAACATGCATATGGACTCCATTTTATTTCGAAAACTGTTAAATGAGCCACAGCAGAATAAATAAAACCAGGAAAGTGGTTCTGATGAACAACTACAGGTACTAAAGATCTCTAACAACTGCCATTTTCAACAAATGAGAAGTAAAAGCACAATATAAAGGCACAAAACTCTACAAATGTCCTATCCAGCAAAGGCAGTGACCAACCTAATCACTTCATATAAAAGTGAGCAAAATTCTATAATAGCAATCCTTTAAATGTAATCCAAAACTCTTACAAATTCTTTCAAGAATCTTATTTGACTTGGACTCTCTGTGACCACCACCACGCTATATGACAGCCAACCAGGCTGGCCAAGCTCGCTGTTTTACAGCTTTTTGGTTGAGGTCTCTGGAAAATTGACTAAACAATTGTGACACCAGTTCCATCATGATCAAATCTTAATCCAATTTTCAATCCATTCACAACTGAATATATTGTCCTAATCTAGAACAAATTTATTTTTATTTTTTTTCTAAAAGAGAATATGCACAGATTTAGAACTTACTCCTCCAATATCTTTATTGAACAGCTTAAACTAATTTTGACAGCTAAATGCCTCATTAACAAAATTCTGAAGAATTTCGTCAAAATTAATAAGTCTAGCTAAAACAAATTCACATCTTTAGCATAATACAAATGCATATTTCCAATCAAAAGAGACATAAACTTGCTAAAACTAAAGTTAGGTAAGTAACAAAATTCTCTACACAGAAACGAGGCATGTCTTTACTTCTGATATTCACAGCAACAATTGTTAAAGAGTCTAACATAACCAGGTTCATAGATAATTGAGCATGCCATCACGTTCTTCGGATCTTTTGTTCAAACCCAATAGTGGGCCAGTATAGAATTACATAAAAAAAAATGGTTGAAGAATCTTTTTTTAAAAAAATTAAAAAATCAAAGATACTTATGAAAATATCGAAACAGTAATGATATTCTGGATGTATTAAACATTTAATTTAAAAGATCTGTGCTTGAAATAAAAGACTATAGTGAACAGAAAAAAAGGAATTTCTTCCTAAAGAGGCGGATCATTTTATAGCATCCACAAAAATTAATGATATTATATGTATAGAGAGTAGTTGAAATATGATCCAGTTATCCAGGAAAACTTAAAAGATCCAAAACAAGAATAACAAAGTGAGGAATTAACTTGAGTGAAATGCAGCAATTCACCCCNCCCCAAAAAAAAAAAATCTTTTGCCAGTTCATTGTTACCTCTACTACAGAAGGCAACTACATAGTACATACTTATCAACCATGTCAAACTATGTTAATTCTACCTCCCTCTTTTGTTATGTTCTACTGAGATCAGTAGAAGTAAAGTTTTCCAACAGAATGTAATTTTATTCCATTGAACAGAAGTGAAGTGATGGATCAAGTTGATGTAATCAAACAAAATTTTGTGAATAATAATATATTTCAAAAATTCTAGCTCAAAGCCAGTGAACAAAATCAATCAGGACTAACAATTTGTTTTCTGTAATTAAATCAAATTAACATTGGAGTAAGCAGTGAACAACAAGATATCGATTGTACTGAATGAAATATGGAGATCATGGAGGTGTTGGATGAGGTTATCCTTGTAGAGCTGCAGTTTAGATTAGAGAGTGATAGTGACCTCAATCTTGTGGCTCCATTTCTGCCCACTTCAACAATGAATTAGATACAACACAAAAGCTAGTACCCTAGAAGTTGCAAAAATGAAGTGAAATGATGTGAATATTTTTAGCTAAAAAGCACACTGGAAATGATGAGATGACTGGCATGCCTTTTGAAACCTCTTGTTATATCATTCTTCGTCTATCAACAAGTGCAACTGTTTTCTGAATGCAGAAACTTTCCTTGCTTCAACAGCCATCACTAAACCCGTCAACTGGTAATTTTTAAGCTGCAGAGATATACGGTGTCAAAGGAAGCAAGAAATTGTTCATTATGTGAAAAATACATATTCGTGAAAAAAGCACGTAGACTGGAAGTCTTTATTAGAAATATATGCAGATTATAAACTGGAAGACCGATGTTAAAAAAGTCTCTAGTTTCTAGTAATATAGAAGACCAAGAGTAATTGTATGAGTGACCACAACTAAGTGTCCAGGGGTTGTAAGAACCATTTTGATTTGCGCAAATACTGTTTTCAACCTACCACCACACCCCTCCCATTGAAGGGTAAACAAGTAGGAGAATATGCAGTCATAGAAGTTTGATGTGCGAAGACATGTGCAAAAGGAGAAATGGGGAGGTTTCTTGATTCAAATTAAAAATAAATTTATCTAATAATATTCTCTCCTTCTAATCACTTGTTTTACATGATTCCATAAAACATATTATTTAATAATTGTAAGCTGATATGCCAGAACTTGCCTCATTTGTTGTAACCTGCTGTGCAGGGAAGGGAAAACTGAAGGACCACGAGCTAAGCTGAAGAAGCATTTAGAGGAAGAGTCAGGGACCCCAAGGTTAAAATACAGCAATAGCAAAAAATTCAAAACTCCGGTACCTTGTAAAAAATTTCATCTTCTGGTTTGATGTATATAATAGCATCATCTTCACTTTGACTTGGGCCTTTAATCTGGTCTACACTCTTATGCTACAGGTAGGCATCAAGAAAGGGAAGAAATTATTAGACATTGATGTCTTCTATTCAAATTCTACCAATTCTAAAAGATATACTGAACTATTACAACAGCTTACCTTGTATATTTTACTAATAATTAGGTAAAATTTGATGCGAAAAGAATTCTGAAGCTCCTTTGTCGGCTTTGCCAAGTAAAATAACAATAGGTAAGTACTTAACTCCAAGCATCCCAACATGAAATGGAAGTCATCTCGATCATAGTAATAAGAAGAATTATGTCATCTAACCTCATCTTCTGTTGCCCATGAGACTTCATCAAAGAGAGCATCATAAAGCGGTGGCAATAGCTGGGGAGGAAGATTTACAACACGTTGAGAAACCACTAGACCAACATCCCGGGCATATTCTCCCATAAACGACCTCAATTTAGCCAAAACATCCTTCTCCTGGCACACTTTAAGGAGGTAACCCTTGAGCTCAATCATACACTTACTATCCTGTTATAAACAAAACCAACTTATTATAGCCATAAATGATCAGAAGTTTTGAAAATGAAAATTTCATAGTGTTTCAAAAGTGGGGACACTAAAGCCATTCAAAAAAATTTTGTGATACAGTATCAAAGCATTAAAAAGGACAAGAGATAGTTGGAGTTGGATACAGAGGTGTAGGTAGCCTGCCTGGTATCTTCCCAGATTAAGAGCAGTAATAACAGAATATACTGCATCATCTTCATCATTCTCTATCTTCACAACAGTCCCCACTGTTGGTTGTCCCAGTATCAAGTCTACAAAGCCGCTGAGATCCCACTGTTTATTACCAAGGTATGTCTGTAACAGGACCTTCACTCCATGGAAGTCCCCAGGTTTTGGATCAAAGAAGGCAAAATCTGCTTGAACAACTCCCTTTCCACATAAATAATCAATTAGCTAAAGAAGCTCAAAAAACATGAACATTCATGTATCCAATAGCCATAATAGGCAACAATTGGCAATATGATATACTAACCTCAAACCCTTCACCATCAGAAGAGTCAGACTGTTCGTTCTTATCTTCAACATGATGATACCCATTACCTAGATGTGCACATTTGTGTTCAAATGGTTGTAAATACTGGGAAGAAAATAAAAATAAAAATAAAATAAAATAAAAAACAGCACAAACAAGTACAGTATACTGAAAAGGCATACCGGAAGAGCTGGGTGTGTCTTTTGTTCGTAACATGGAGCTTGGAACCTTGTGCCTGCCCTTATTAATAGATGCAACTACAGCCATGGAACGACCAAATGGAGAAAATGTGAGCGGAGGACATCTTAATAGTCGGTGACGTGCTGGTTTCCGTGGCATTCTGTTGAATATGAGACCTGGATCTATGTAAGTACAGGAATAGAGTGGAGAGCGTGAGATGGAAGATGGGGAGAATATGAAGAGGGAAACATTTAAATGTCAATAGTAATTTGTGCAGAAAGTGAAAGACTTGTTACAGTAGAGTCCTTAATTGGCAAACTATAATAAGAAGTAAAATCCCATCAAATGCACAAAAATATGAAAGTTGGTTGTAATTCCTACTTGCACAAACTCCCAAAATTCCACTAAATCAATAGTCATATTTTCCAAATCAATGCAGCTATTAGCAGGAGTGTGCACATTCCTGTTTTCTCAAGAACCTGACNGATATCCATCCAAACAAGGAGCTGGGTCATCGAGTCGCTGGTTCGGTGGTTTCATGTAATTTAATATTTTCTAATATAATGTGGAACAATATCAATATGTATATCATGTGCACACATAGGAAGAAAAAAAGACACCAATTGCTCATTTCAATCTAATCATAAAAAATAACTTCGTTACGTCAACAATGAACAAGAATTCATCAGTCAAGAACATATTTAAGTATCTAAATTATTTGAGTTAAAATACAAACTACCAAACACTAAATACAGATATTTGTAGCGTACTACCTCCAAAACCAATATGAAATAGTAAATAAATTATCTTGCAGACATACACCCGTTGACGCTTATTGAAGAATTTTTACAAAGGGCAATTAGCACATAATGTCCCTATTTTTCACTATTATTATGAAAAACGTCTCTACCTCCCATTTTTTGGTATTTTCACCATTAATTACACCTTTGATTGCATAAGGCATCATTTTCATCCAATTTCTCAATAAAAATTGTGAAGTGATGAATATACACTTATATTTAAATAAAACAAAAAGAAAAGAAAAGAAAAATAAAGAATTAATTGTAATCCCAACTTTTTTTTAAAAAATAGTACAAATGAGTCTCAAATAAATTATTAAAAAATTATAAGTAAAAAAAATTCTCTTTCACCACCACCGCAAAGCCAGATTCCAATAAACCAAAGAACACACTATTAACAAATCGTCTAAAGTCCTCTTCTCCTCCAAAATCCCTCTCAATCGATCTATTTACATATATGAATGCAAGTATTGAATACTGATTTTTATCTTTAACAAAATTTTTGAAAATTGATTGAACAAAAGACCTAACCTTTGCAAAAGAACCCAATTTCACCAATGTTTTTCTATTCAAAAACCTCAATTAGTTTGCCAACAAAATTTCCACATCAAAAGCAAAATAGAAATATACCGTGTTCTTTAAGAGACCCCAAAGGACTGCGTTTTTTCCACTGCCCACGACCAATTTTGGGGAATCCCTGTACAAATGCAGTGTCTTCTTTTGTGGAGAGTAATGACTTCGTTAATCGGGTTATAAAGGCAAATCCTAGCCGAGTGGAACCCAAGTATTTGACTGGGAATAAATTTTATATACAGAAAGAAAAAGGATGATTTCACGAAAATGGCATTGGTTGCAAATTTTTCGAGACATTGAGGTGGTTGAATTTGAATGTATTGGCGAGTGAAAATGATAATGAGAGTGGTGAAGAGGGAAATTTAGTGAAGTCTAAAGGGGAGGTGGGGGTGGTGAAAGAGAATTTTTTTTTATTTATAATTTTTTAATAATTTATTCGGGACTCATTTGCACTTTTTTAAAAAAACTGGGACTACAGTTAAGATTATTTTTTTAAATTAATTAATTTTTTTTTTATTGAAATAGAAAGTATATTCGTCATTACACGATTTTTTATTGAGAAATTGGATGAAAAGAATGTTTTGTAAAATCAAATGTGAAATTAAGAGTGAAAATGCCAAAAAATGGAAGGTATGGACGTCTTCCATAATAATAGTGAAAGGTAGAGATGTTATATACTAATTACACCTAAAATGTTTATACATGTATGTATGAATTAAAACCAACTTTCAAATAATAACTCTATCTAATCAATATTTAAATCAAGCTTATATGTTACCCATCAACTCAAGTGCAATCCCAACAAAAGAAGAAAAGACATTAATAACATCTACAAAATTTCAGACAAAACAAGAACTAATACGTGTGTCGTACAAAATAGAAAACTACTAACATCAATTGTTAGAGGAATAATAGATGGTCAAGGAGAGAGAGATGGAGGAGAAATCAATGAAGATGGAAATGAATGCCTGTTTGGAGAAATAAATGGTCAAGAAGAGAGAGATGGAGGAGAAATCAATGAAGATGGAAATGAATGCCTATGTAATTTGAATTCTAATGTACATAGATTCAGACTTCGTGAGACAAAAGAACTACAACGTAAAAGAGAAATTATAGCCTGAACTGGTTTAACTAGTAAGAGCGGGCCACAAAGGTCGTTTGGGTCTAAACGGGGCATACCAATTTTTTCAAGTTAATGTCCTTTTAAACTTAAGCCCTGAGTTGGTTTACCTAAAAAGGTTGGTAAAATCCCAAGTTAAAGTCAAAAATTAATTTTAACCACACATTTCGTAAGACCCAAAACTTTTATCAACTTTTCAACCCCACATTTCATCAATTTTTATCAAAATCAAAATATGATTTTTAGCAAAGACAGCTAGGAGCTAAGTTTAAAGGAAACCATCAGATTCATCAGTTCTAGTCGATCTGGCTAGCTCAGGTTAGTTTTAATAATACTGGCTAGAACCAATTGATTTTACATGAATGACGAGAATGCGACAGGTACAAACATGTCTATTCTGGTTGAAATCTCACAGAATTCGATTAAAACCAATTCTCAAACGAATTCACACATTTTCTGTATGCAATAGCTCTTGACGATTTAGCAGACTAGTGGAAATACTGATGGAGGAAGTGCAACACACAAGTTTTGTGCAGTTCCAAAGCATACTTTACAGCCCGTGCATTAATTTTTATGTATTTTAAATAAAGGGTTAAATACATTGCAAGTCACCCAAACTTTGAGGAGCATCCAGGTTACTCATCTTCCATTTGGTGCAATCAGGTCATCCAACTTCCATCTAAGTCATCTTCAATACAGTACATCAGGTCACCAATCTTCGATTTGCTTGAAAAATTGGTTACTTGATCTACTATCGTCGGTGTAACTAACTAATATGGTTACTTGAATGTCAAACTAATGGATAACTGATGTTAAAAATGTGCTTTCAGTTCATACTTTTTTTAAAGTGTTTTTCAAAATGGGTGATGTTTATTGTTGTGTGAGTGGACATACATAGAATTTGAAGCTTTAAAAAAATCTCTTTTACTACAAAAGAGAAACTTATACAATTTGATTTTATGATAAACACACACCTCTCACTATTAATTATTTATGAAAAAGGAAGAATTCACACAAGCACTCAGCTTGTTGACTCCACCTAACTCTCCACTAATATCACTCACACAAGCACATTACATACAGCCAACTCACATTTATAGGTGTTTAAGGTCAGTGGAGATAATTTTCAGATTTCTCCATTGTGACGGCGAGCTTCATATTCTTTATTTCTTAAGAAAACTTGCAAAGTATAGTCATATTCTACCCCCTTATCAGTTATCTCAGGAAGAAATCATCAACAGTATTGCGTTCCAGCAAGCATGTATTGACAATAATTTGTTTGCAACTACAGTCTGTCAAATATCTGGACCACAATAAGGTTTTTCTCCAATTGCAGTCAACACAGAATTTTGGCTCACAATTGGAACATGATCTTCTTACCCTCACCAGTTTTATCAGGCTTGGAATTTTTCCTAGCACTTGAAATATACATCTACTCTTACATACTGAAAACTAATTTACGTAAAAACAGATCTTCATAAATATAACTGCCAGAGATTGCTGTATAGTCCACTGTACTATATCGTTTCCAATAAGTCAGCATCAGATTATCTATTTATTTTGGTAAATAGCTCGTTTTCATTTCTACTGCCTGATAGGTCATTATCAATTTCATATGCAACTATTATTGTTGCTTCACAAACCCATTAAGTCATCTAGCAATTCAATTAAATTATTGTTGAGATGCTCTTAATTATGATTACTTCGTATCAAATAGGACTTCCCTAACAAAATCTGTAACTTGGGGGGACTTATTTTACACATGGAACCGCTTGGTGGTTCCATAAAACAGGAATTAAACTTCCGGTTCCATCTTTTAATCAAATGAAAAAACAGTCTGTCATCAAAATGCAACTCCCTTACATTAATCAAATAGTGGGATGTTTGCATACACGAGTACAAACCCAGAGGCTTCAGACCCACTGCAACTCATAAGGAAATATTAGCTATACTCAATAGTAATAATGAGACCATATGTTAATTTACTTAAAATGGTGTAGAAGCCCTAAAGAAGAAATCATATTTAAAAATTTCAGGTAAATTCCGGAAACAAATATGGTAAAAGCAGAAAAAAATACAACTAAAGAAAAAGGATTTAGAGGGTTTAATTGAAAACAACAAAATAGAACAGGAATGTAAAAACTCAATTTCAAGTAGCACAGCAACACACCCAATTCATTTACAAATAAAAAAATTAACTTTACTACAAAACAAAACAAAATCAGAATTCATACCTAATTATTGTTTGAAAAAAAAGTCAGCAATTGAGAGATATATGAAGAAAGTTGGTTCCAAAGGTGAAAGTTTGTCTTTCAAAAAGGGCAGAACTCTCAGGGTCGAATCTGAATAGGGTTGGGACTTGGGACGGGGCGGGAAGAGAGATGAAGCCAAGTGAGGAGAAGATTGCAACAGGGCGTGACTAGCATGAGACGGCTAAAGCCTTCATGCCAGCGTTTGAGGTTGTTTTTTAGCGTGTCTAGCTTACAAAATTACCCCTCAAATTAGAGGCGTTTTGATAATGGGTAATTAGCACAAAAAAATCATTACTTTTCAATGTTATTTTACAAAACGTTTTTATCTTTTATATGTTGATATTTTCATCTTTCATTGAGAAAAAATATCATTTTCATCAAATTTCTCAATTTATAAATGTAAAATAACAAATATACACTCCTATTTAAATAAAATAAAAAAATAAAAGAATATTTGTAAAGGCATGTTTAGTAGTGATTATGAAAATCGATTTTTTGACCGTTAAAGAGAAAGTGGATCCCACCTACTAAAGAAAAAGTCAAAAATGATGGCTAGAATAGTAAAATAACGATCAGAAAATTGATTTTTTAGAGGTAAAAAATTGCTACCAAACGGGGGCTAAGTATACTCTCAAACTTTTTTTAAAAGCTATAAATGAGTCCAAATAAATTATTAAAAAGATAATTAGTACAAAACATAATTACCTTTCAATATTATTGTGTAAAAAGTTCCCATATTTCATTTTTTGACATTTTTACACTATTTTCACATTACATTACGAAAATAATTATTTTCATTCATTTTCTCAATATAAACAAATTGCAACTACACTCCCAAATTTTCAAAAAAAAAA